GACAATACCAGAAGCTTCACATCCCCTATAGTCTTCCCATAAGGTGTAGGTCGACGGATAGGCGAAGGAAACGTCAATGAGGGAATGACGAGTTCATGGCTTCCTTCCGTTTCGGGCGGTTCTCCAGTAAGGTCTACGTCGATCTGCGGAGGCGTTGTAGGGCCCGATGAGAACAAGAACGACGAGGACACTGAGGGAAACGATGAAACAGAATCTCCGGAGGGACTCGATGGGGATGGCAACGAACTATGGGGTGAAGCTGGATGTGAATTTGTAAGATCAGTAATGTCAGGAGGTGTTATAGTCAAGCTCAGAGGAACTCCACGGAGTGTTCCAACGCTCGAGCTTGTCGATGGCTCGTCGTCCATGATGAATGTTTGGATATAAGAAGGCTGAGTGATTATATTTAAGAAACAGCCCAAGCAGGGGCAAGCACGCCACCCCATTAATCAGTTCTCGGAACCATGACATACCCCTACAACGTGGCCGATAAGATAAGATCCATCATTCGCTTGGTCGCAATAACCTCATCATAATTTCGGTAACAACAATTCTACAACTTGCTGTAAGACAATACCCTCCTAATCAGCCTCTCAAGCTTGTCATCCAACGCCTCTGTCGCCTTCTTTAGCTCCTCATTTCCGTCCGAGAACATGGTTGAAGCAGCCGAATCATAAGTAATACGTGTTCCGCCACCACCCTCTATTTCCTCGATCAGAATCTTGGGCGGAATGTGCAAGCCCGTACCTAGGCTGTGTTGCAGTATGGTCTGGGCGATGAGGGGATTACCAATCGTATAAACGTGTGCCTCTGGAAAGGTACGTTTGCCCTCGAAATAGATGTTCAACCACTTGCTATGTGATCCTGCAGAGAAGAAGCTGCATGCTCCCTGAGTCTACACTTCTCGAGCTGCGTCTGGGCACTCACATGAAGTCTCGTGTACCCTCCGTCATTTTGAGCATCCCTTCTTCAAGGCTCTTCTTGTCCTCCACCGAATTCAACAATTTCCACACCTCCAGCCCAGACCCCTTCCTGTTCACCTCCAGATCCAGTAAGACAATGACATCCTTGATGTGTTTGCTTGAGGTAAACGTAACCCGTCGAGCGGTGTATGCCTGGGACGCTTTGGTCACCTCAGAGTCAGACATTGGGCGTATATGAAGGTTACTATCGCTGAGGTGCGGCGTGAGAGCAATTTGAGAGTAAGTGTGATTCCTACTCCTAATTTATACACTAGCATCGGCTTGGTGTTGTTCTACCCGTATGAGACATGAGTAACCACTCCTCATGTTTCCTAGGTCTAAAGTATAATGGCCTTCGGCGAACATCCACCTATTGGTCCGGTGTTTGGTCAGTATAGACCTATTCTTATCCGTCAAACCTCCCTAAAATCTTGAAACCAAGTTCACAGACTGCCCATCGTGACCTAGCTTTCAAATAAGATCTTGATTAAACGAGACATTGGGATTTATGAGCCGTAAAATCCGTTTTTTCATACCTGCACTTCACTTCAACGTCATTTTCAATTCACAAATAGCGAGATTGCCAGACAGAGGGTTGAATGTGTTTATGCAAATACAAATGTCATGCCCAGTATCCTTTCATCGTACAGCCTCTCGTATACTCTCAACTCAACCTAACCACCATCGACACGACCAACAGGTACGTGACCCAGTTCGAACGACTGATGAATGAAGTGAGTGTTGACATACTTCCTCGCTATTGTGAATAGAAATCTATTAGAGAGGCGCTGTCGCGCAGAACGAACTGCTAAGAGTGTCTTCCTCTTCAACAGGTCCTCTTTCACCTGCTCCCGATGATACAAGGTAACGATACCCAGGGCAACAATCCAATAGTTCCTCATCCGAAGGCTAAGAATTGTCGTTTCGTGGACCAATACCATGATCTGGGCTACGAGAATAACATGAACTCCTTCAAAGAGACTTGTACTAAGGTTAGGCCACTTTCACATGAAGCCAAGCAACTGACTATATATCATACAGATCATGCCTTCCACCAGCCCTTTTGCTCAAAGTCGACGATGGTGTCCTTCGTAGTCTCATCGAAGGTGCAGTACTTGATGCCAAGGGTCTCCTTCGACTTAGAACCGTCGACGACACTGTCAGTACGCTTTGCAAGGTTGATTGAAGCATCGCCAGCGGGGAGCGAAGGTACGTACTCGTGTGCGGCGGCAACTATAACCGTACTAATCGCAAATAGATCAACGACGATCACTTGCCAAACTCTTGCCAAAGGAATGAACCAGAGATAATGATGAATCGGTTGTTGGCAGCCTCCTCCTTCAAAAACGCGGGGACTCAGAAAGCGCAGAAGGCCAATAGGTCAATTAGCCTTCTCTCCCCGTCGATCAGACTTTTTGCGAACTACGATAGCTGCCTTATATGGATTGCCACCGATCAGAGAGCATCACTCAGCACTGCACGCGTTCAATGTGCGATGTTTTCAAGTTTACTGTAACACAAACGTCCACATGATATTAGGCCAACATGGCCTCCCCTTCAAAGGACGAGGCATATGGCTATACCGAAGGAGCTTCTGCTATTGACATCCAGAATCCTATCCGTACTTTAAAACGTGTCCGATGTGACTCCGGATACGGTGAAGATGGAGTTGGGAGCATGTTTGACGGACCCAGCCATTCTGTTATTCCAAGCAGTGCCCCAAGAATGTCTCCTTACGAACCTGGCCGAAGTAGAGTCCTACGCCGAGAAGAGGCGAAGATAGTCAAAGCCGACCAGGTTCCCGAAGTCGCCGACCGAGCGGAGACGGATCTGTTGCAGTCAACCACATTAACCAACTTGGACCCACTCAGCGCGTCCCGCGGTGTATGTTATGTTCTGGAAGGTAGCGGTTGACTTTTCGTCATTAGTGAGTCATGCTACGCTGCACCCCCAAGCTCCGAATCGCAAGGAGAGACCCAGAATATCGTGCTCAGCTAGGATTTCACGACTTACGATTGACCCCACCATATAAGTAGTACTACATCGTCTCATGACGTTTGTACCGATCAGCACTGAGAGTGACGTTACAAGAAGTATTGAGTGATTTGAGAACATCTTCGACACTTTGAAATACTAATACATTACACTCCCTTTACCGACTTTCGTCGAGTCGTCATATTATATTTCCAATCCTTATTTTTTCCTCCACAATTCAAAGCTTCGTCACAGGTGCAGGGGGCGGTACTCCGAGATGAGGAAACCTCGGTATACCAAAACTTGGTAACCAAGGGGACCCATCTATCGCTGCGATACCTTGTCCTTCCATACCCTGCCCGCCTGGCCGTCCAGTTATTTGAGCATTTCGTTCCATCAAGATCGAATGCACTTGCATCCTAAGTCCGTGTAAAACCGATCTCAGGCTCCGCAACTCTTCGTTGTTTCTCATCGCTTCAGTGGATATATGAACATCATGTTGACGAGCGAGGGAATCAACGGATGAAGAGAGCGTGATCACAGAGTTGTGCAGGGAGGTGAGAGTTGCGAAGAGGTTGCCTGAGAGATTTAAGGGTGCGATCGGGGAGCTTGGGGTCAGTGAGGATGAAACGACAGGAACGTTTGGGATGGATGTAGATATAGTTGGATTTGGCAAGGGGAGGAGCGGTGGGTGAGAAGCTTGTTGGTAACTGGGTGAGGTATGAGCAAAAGGTGTAGAGCGATTGGCGTATGAGGTTGTGGCAGGTAATTGACTTGAATGGGTATCTACTGTTGGAGCTGTCGAGGGGCCACTGTCACCTTCTAAAGTAGGGAAGTAAGATGCAAGAGAGGCCATTTGGTCCGCGGCAGGTTGACCTGCGTAGACGTACGCTTCCTCAGGATATGTCGCATTGTTGAATTTGGAAAAAGTGCAGGGACATAGTCGGCACTCTGCATGCCAGGAGTGGAAGTAGCGGGTTGATTCGACTGGTTTCGGCTCGATACCAAGGTCCAAGGACGTCCTTTGTGATTCGAGACTCTCTTGAGAGCACTCTGACCCGACCTTCTAATTCTGAAACTCTCTGTTTCAGAACATCATTCTCCTCTTTAAGCTTCCCGAGTGTTTGGTCGTGAACGGAAAAGAATCCTTTGATAGCCTCATACGGACAAGATGAGATGTGCGACTCCGTTAATTCAGAACGAGGTCCTGTCCATGAACAACCGTGTGCGGCGTGTGTGCAAGGAATGATTGTATCTTGACACGAGGTGTGCGATTCGGAGCGTAGGACTTTCTCTTGACAGAATTCACAGCATACTGTACTCGATTCACCGGATTGAGGGTGTTCAGCCTAGCTCATACACGCTGACTGTCAGTAGTAGTACAATAATGGACTTCAAAGATATGTACGTCTTCTGCATCTTCAATCGCTCGTCCTCTGTAGTGGGATGCGATACATCGTTTCCCCGGGTATCGGTGTGTTTGCAAGCATCTCTCAAGTGCAAGTCAAGTAACTGTCTTTGAGGGGTCTCCTCACACCCAGCCACCTTGTTCGGACATTCTACCGGCAGTTCATTGACAAGCTGATAGTTGATTTAGGATCTGGTTATTAGGCGTCAGCAGGTTGTAACCGAGTACTTACGTTTCGTATGAGAGGATCGGCCAGAACGAGGTCATCCAGGGCAAGGTGTGAACGATCGACAGGACAGGTTGGAGATATCGATAGAGCCTGTCGTAATACATTCACGGCAGAATGTATGGCAGCATGTTCGAGAACAGTACGGGTCAATGAATGGTGTTCTATACAGAGATCGGCCTCATGTTAGACCATGGGGCATAGATCACAGCGTTGACCGTACCTGCAGATACAACAGATCTATTTAAGCCAGGGTTAACATGCATACCGTGCATGGTCAAAGTGTAAATGAACGTACCAAATTGTCGTTTAAGGGCTCAATATAAGAGTAGTACGCCATGAGGGTAAGAGATTGAATCGATAAATTGCGGTACCGCATCAGTGAACCCTTCAAAGCGGGACCTGAATGGTGTAAGCTGTCTCAAAAAAGCTCTCTGCCTGGGAGTCGAACCCAGCTTTCGCGCGCACAACAGATTAGTGACAGGCGCGTGTACTAACCGATATACTAGCAAAGAGTTATTAGTGCATCTGTTTTGAGAGGTCTATGCTACAAAACATAAGCACTATGAAGTACTGAAATGGAATTTGGAAATTAATATTTATCCGCTCCCTCTCTCTGCTTGAATACTCCAACGTTCTAATATAAACATCACCTCTCATGGAGGACGGTCTTATCCTTAACTTGGCCGACGATTCACCTTTAACAGGAACAAAATCTTCACAGGGGAAAAAGGGTGGACGATGGACAGACAGGTGCATCTTTTGTCTTCGCTTTCGGAGTACTTGCACACTGAAACAGACTACCTAGGCTCAAAGCAAAGCGAGGGCAGAAGAGGAAGGCTAGACCAGACGAGGGTCATGCTGCTCCATCAACAAAAACTGGTCTTGAACGACGACCTTCAAAACGTGCTCGTCAGGATCCTTTGAACACTAGAAACGAGGATGGTGCTTCTGGACCTGTGGTTTCCTCTACGCGGGGTTCTACACAGATTATTTCATCTCTCTTTACCTCCAATCCGACGCTAGAACAGCCGATGGCACCTCCACAACCCCAGATATCTGCAAAACCTAGTAATGCTCCTTTGCGAGACTCTTCCACATTTATTGGGCTTGGACTCGACCCACTTATCACTACACATCTCGAAACTAAAATGAATATAGAAAAGCCTACTTCGATTCAGAGAGCAGCGCTACCTATCATGCTTTCTAGCTCCTCTGAAGATACCTCTTCTCGAGATGTTTTTATTCAATCTCAAACAGGTTCCGGAAAAACACTATCTTTTCTACTTCCTATAATTCAAGACCTTCTACCGCTCAGTTCCCTCTCATACATCGATCGGTCGATAGGAACTCTCGCTATTATCATTGCTCCAACTCGAGAACTTGCTAAACAGATTTCGGATGTACTCGAAGCCCTCCTAAAACTCCGTCTCCGTCCTACAGACGAATCCGCGGAAGATGCAGACACCTCTGCTCCTCGTTTAACCCGTTGGCTCGTCTCTGGTCTCCTCTCCGGTGGTGCAACTCGTACACACGAAAAAGCCAGGCTTCGAAAGGGTGTACCTATTCTCGTATCTACACCTGGAAGACTATTAGACCATCTGCAAAATACGTCTTCCTTTAATGTGGGTAAGTGTCGTTGGCTCGTACTAGACGAGGCCGATCGATTGATGGATCTCGGTTTCGAGGAGAGTATCAATGGAATTGTAAAGGGTCTGGATGGGAGGAAGAAATTAGCGATGCAGGCGGTAGAGGAGGGTAACAGTATGGAAGTGGGTGGGTGGGATTGGTCGAGGAATAGACGGACAGTTTTGTGTTCAGCGACTATTAGGGAGGACGTACAGAAACTCGCTGGAAACGCATTGATGGATCCAATCGTTATCAAGGCCTTGCAAGAAAATTCGAAAGTCGACGCTGTGACCGGAGAAGCCCTAGGTGAAACTGTGGACAACAACAACAAGTTTACACCACCATCACAGCTTTCTCAGAAATATGTGGTCGTTCCTCTGAAACTTCGACTCGTCACTCTCATTGCGCTCTTACGGTCATTGCTTTCCCAGTCACAAGGTCGTCGAGGGACGAAGATAATCGTCTTCTTGAGCTGCACTGACTCTGTTGATTTCCATTGGAACCTTCTGGGCGGTACATCCATGGGTGGAAATGACGAAGAAACTGCAGAAGGGTCTTCTGACAGCGATGGGGGCAACCCAGATGATGATGACGACGACGACGATGACGACGAGGAGACGAAGACTAAAACGAAGAAGTCAAAAGTTAACGGCCCTGAGAAGGTTGAACTCAAGTCAGACCTACTTCCCGAGACCTCGATATATCGACTTCATGGTTCACTTCCTTTACAAACTCGACTTGCCTCACTACGTGGCTTTGCATCTTCACCTTCTGACAAGTCGAAGCCCTTCACAACCTCCTCCTTCTACTTCTTCCATCCTACTCTGTACTTCCGTCGCTTCGCGTGGTCTCGATCTTCCTCTCGTCAAAGCTGTCATTCAATATGATCTTCCTACAGAAGGCGGAGCAAACGAGTATGTGCATCGAGTCGGTCGTACTGCTCGTGTAGGAAAAGGTGGCGAAGCTTGGAGTTTTGTTGCCCCAAGCGAATCAGCATGGGTGAAGTGGGTGGTTGAGAAGATGGAAGGAGATGTGAAGGAAGTGGGCAGTAAGGGTGTCAATTTGGAAGCGGTCGGGATGGACACGGTACTGAAAAAAGGGTTCGGTGGGAAAGGAGCGGAGTATGAGAGTAGAGCGACGGATGTGCAACTGTCGTTTGAACGATGGGTGCTGAAAGATCAACACGTGAGTTTACCTCTATTTACTACTATGACTTCAAGTTTGCTGATGGTCTTCCGTAAGTATGCCTCGCTCGCTCGAAAAGCGTTTTCATCCCACATACGAGCCTATGCAACACATCCGTCGGACGAGAAACATCTATTCCACGTCCGGAATCTTCACCTCGGTCATCTCGCGAAAGCGTTCGCCTTGCGGGAAGCACCATCGGCTGTTAGTACGAATAAAGGTAACGGCAAGGGTGCCAAGGGTAAAGCGTCGGGTTCTGCGAGGAAACCCTCCAAGAAACACTCGAAAGCTCTTGATTCGGATGATGAAGTGGATGTTGGAGAGGCCGAGAAGCGCATGGAGAAGGCTGTTAGGGAGCAAGGTCGACTGACAAGGAAAGGAGGAAAGATGGTGAGTAGCGGACATTCCGAGTTCCAGATCACAGGAGGGTATAATCTGGAATCGTTAATGAATGGGAGTCGGACTTGAAGCTCGAAGTCTTTTTTGGACTTTGTTATCTTATTATATACTTCTACCCCACTTTCGTATCTTCTGGATCTATCTATCACTTCGCTTGAGTTTGTTGAATATCATGAAACGATACCGATCGATCGCTCACGTGCGGTGAATGCCACGTCTCATTAAATGGGTTGGAAAGCAACTCCTCTTTACAACCACTTCATTCATTCTCTCCATCTGCCAGGATGTTCTTCAACCGCTTCTTGGCTGGCTTCATCGCCGTGACTATCGCGGCGTTCTTCTGTGCCCAATCCGTCGAGGCGGCGAAGGGCCCGAAGATCACCCACAAGGTCTACTTCGACATCAAACATGGCGACAAGGATTTGGGTCGAAGTATGTATTTATGCTATCTCAATGTTAACCTTGGTGCTTATATGGTGTGGGTGTGCACAGTTGTGATGGGTCTCTACGGTGGCGTATGTAGAAGAATCTTTAATGGTGAAACGTTCGCAAGCTGATACTGAGACACGATCATTAGACTGTCCCTAAGACTGTCGAGAACTTCCGTGCTTTGGCCACTGGTGTCAAGAAGGATGGTACTAAGCTACCTGACGGTTTCGGATACAAGGGTTCTAAATTCCACCGTGTCATCAAGAACTTCATGATCCAGGGTGGTGACTTCAGTGAGTTTCCTGTTCTCGATATTCTTGTTACGGAATTGCTGACGATTCTCAAAAGCTCGTGGTGACGGAACTGGCGGAGAGGTATAATATTAGTTCTTCTGTTTCCTAGTATCATTCTAATCCTTGGCATATTACAGTCGATCTACGGTACGAGGTTCGCTGACGAGAACTTGTAAGTATCTAGATTACTATAGTGTTTTGAGGAATGTTTGGTTAAACTTGTTGCAGCAAACTTCGCCACACCAAGCCCGGTCTTCTCTCCATGGCTAACGCTGGCAAGGACACCAATGGTGAGTACTCGGAATTAGTCGTCTATGCAAACTTCGTTTTAATGCTTCCCTCCAGGTTCTCAATTCGTGAGTTGATACATATCTCATATCCGTGTCGAGATAATTGACGTGGCCCTAGTTTATCACTACTGTTGTTACTAGCTGGCTCGATGGAAAACACGTATGTTTCTCTATCCCTATTACATGTTATTTATCCATAACCGAACAATCTCAGGTCGTCTTCGGTGCAGTTCTTGAGGGAATGGATATTGTTTCTATCATCGGTATGATGCTACATCGTGTACAAGGCAGTTACCTAACTGATTGAATCTTTTACAGAGAATGTCCCTAAGGGCGGTAGCGATCGTCCCAAAGAGGATGTCGTCGTTGCCGATTGTGGCGAGGTATGTGATCAATGTCTACACCCCGATTTCCTCTGTTTACTGACGTCGATTTCTTCGCTCCGTAACAGCTCCCCATTGACCCTGTGTTCGATGAGGAAGGAAAAGAGGTGCCTCTTCGCGTTGAGCTTTAAATGAGCCCTCCATTCTAATATACTTCCCTTATCTTTTATTGCTTGGGTTGCTTGTTCCTCGTATCGCATCCTCAATGAAACAAATATTCATTCACGTCAATAACCTTCGATGATGTCATACAGCTTTCCTCGCTCTCATCTGTTGCGTCCACCTCTACTCTAGCAACCCCTGTTTCTTCACAAGAAGCACACGACGTAACCTCTGTGAAGCCAGCCGGCGATATCTCAGTTCCGACCACCCCTGCCTCTGACAAGGACACCGAGAAGGAGGTTGAGACACCAGTGCAAGAAGAAGGCTGGGACTTCTTCAATTACATTCTTTTCATTGCTGTTATTGCCGCTATTGGCTTGGGCCTATGGTGGACGGGTGCTCTTCAAGCCGCAAAGAGATACTTTAGCTCTCGGGCTGGGAGAGGAAAGTACAGACGGGTTGACGATGTGGAGAAATAAGCTTGTGCTTTCATTTCAATTTTCTGTCCACTCTGTCATGGCTTTCCGCTCATGACTACTGAAGTAGCTCTAATAATAGAAAGGTACCCGTGTTTTCAAATCGCACCTCACAAACTCCTCAGAGCTCTCAGGTTAGCCTAGCTATTTACCGCCAAGGTAATCTCCATATGTACCGCAAGGGAACGATATTGTTTGTAGACATTCGGATGCACAGTGTACTCGCAGATTTCTCTCCATATGAGCTCCTGCTTTAATATGTTAACCTTGTGTGTAGCAGACAAGGGAATTACTCGTCGAGGCCACAGGAGCCCGTTCTGGCATTGGGC